CGCCTACACCGGGCGCCTACAACGCAGAGACGCCAGCGGCCGGACCGAGATATACTGATGATGATTAGGTAATCGTAAAGTAGTAGTAAGGTGGACCGTTTTCACATCAAGATCACGCGAAAAATGTAGGACTAGAAGGGGAGAGCACATTTCCGGTTATGGCGTTTTGACTCGGGAGGAAGTGACCAAGTCAGCATTGTGCTTCCATGAGTTTAGTTCAGTCCCTGGATTTCGCAGAACAGCTACGTATCTACCTAGCTAGGACTGAAACAATATACTATAACTGATTCGGTACCATTTGATTGACGCCCATAACTACCTTTGCTACTTCTCTTTGTCTTCGTCAGGTGTGTTCGCTGATCCGCTCGGTGAACAGGCTCGTCGTGCTCTCCAACAATCGATTGTGTTGTGCTTTGTTCTCCTGTTCGCGACGTCAATGCTTTATTACCATGGGCTTCCGCCCCTTAATTTCCAGCAGGCTTCTTTGAAAGCTAGTCGATCTCTTGGGTCATACGGGTAGTGACTATCACTCGCTAGCATTTGGTCTTTCACTCGGTCCAGGCAGGCCTGGCTAGTCAGCCAGATCAACCGTGAATTTGTCGACATCCCTAAGCTAGGAACTCATTGTCAAACTCACCACTTCCAGGCAGGTGAGTAAGTGAGTAGGTCGTCGGTAAGTAAAGAAAGGTAGGTCACAGAGCGAAAGAGCGAAAGGGGAAGGAAGACGAAAAGAAAAGGGGGTGGGGGACAGACAAGATGTGTTACACCCAGCAAATCCACACAGCCCACCACGCCTCCCTACTCGTCTTCGACGCAGCCGCCCAAAAAGCCCATGCCTGCCACCTCACCTACCCAGAAGCCACGGATGATACGAAGGGAAATGGCTGCCTGAAGTGCCCGCTGCATTCGTGCTGCCGCGTCACCTCGGCGCTTATCTTCGAATGCGACGCTGCCAAGCACGGCGGGTCCTGCACTGCCGGCGTCGATGCCGGCGGGAAGGCGGAGGCGGAGGTGAAGGGAAACGCCGTATACGAGGAGGTCGTGTACGTGCCGTTCAAGGGGCACGAGGCGCCTGTTTGGGAAATGGCTGCTGCTGGTGGTGGTGGTGGTGGTGGTGGTGGTTCTGCTTCATCATCTTCTTCACCTGCTCCTGACAAGGAAGGGGAAAAGACGACGCCACGGCCGAAGACGAAGAAGAAGTGGAGTTGGAGACGAGACAAGAACTGCGCCGAGTCGGAGGTCCTCTGGGATGCTGTCGCTGAGGGAGGGGATGGCTTGTTCCTGGAAGAGGCTGAGCCTGAGGCTGATGAGGAGGATGATTCTTGTGCTGGTGATGGTGGCAGTGGCGGCAATGGGAGTGGAAGTGGAAGTGAGAGTGCGAGTATGAGCGGCGACGATGGCAGTAGCAGCAGGAGAAGCAGCGGCCGTATAAGCCAATACTACCCCTGCTGGTCTCCTGCTGCTGCTGCTGCCGCCGCCGCCGCCGCCTCTACGGGAGGGATCAAAAGCCAGCCCGGGTCCGCACGTGGAGAGACATTCGGTGTTGGGGGCGACTGGGACGACGAACACAGCGAGGAAGGCGAGATTCCCCATATGGAGTTCTGGTCGTTCGACGGTTCTCTTCCTACTCCCAGTCCCACTTCTTCTTCTTTTTCTTCTCTTCCTTCTTCTCCCGACTGCGACTCCAATTCCGACACTAGTGCTAGCACTTGCAGTGGCAGTCCGGCAGTCCCGTCATTCGGAGAAGGGGTGAGAGTGGGAGAATTCCTACGCCCGCTGCCGACCGGCAAGACGGTCATCTATCTCGAGGACCCGACCGATGTCCTGGATCTGATGATCTCGGAGCTGCAGCTCGTAGGTAGGCTGGGCCCCGATACCGATACCGATACCGACACTGACGCTGACTCTATTAGGGCTGCGGATTCTGTCCCTGCTCGTGGAGTAGAGAATAGCCAGGTGAAGGGCCGGGTTCAGGATGGGCGTAAAGGGGGTTGGTGGCCTGGTAGGTGGTGGCAGAGGGATAGGAGAGAGATGGGGGCGAAGGAATAGGGGGCGTGAGTAGGTACGTGTGTTAGTGAGCTGGCTCGCCATTCGGTCACAATGGGAACTAACTAGTCTATCTACACGGGTGTGGTGTTGAAGGTTAGTATCTGATTCAGATCCCTCCTTAGGTTGAGCTCCCCGGAATATGGTTGCATCATGCTTCACCGAATCACTCCTTGGTCCCCCTTTTCCCATCCTGTTCTTCCCTTAGAGTTACACCGGAACAATTCAATATACCAACAATTCGTGATCATCTTGCAAACCCTTGCTTCCCAGATGATTTTTCTGGTAATTGAGTCTAACATTGCTACGTGATTTGCATGATTTAAATATTTCGTTTCATAAACGTGACTATGTTGTGTATGCATTCATGTATGCTATCCTGATTCCAAACACGCAAGCATACACACAATCATAGTGGCACGCGGCATCCGAGTTTTCACCGTCTCACTATATTTCCTTCCGAAAACTTTGTGTATCTTGTCGTAATGTCTACCTGAGCGTCCTTGGTTCCCGTAGGCTTGTTACGTAACATTGAAGGTTGCCACCACGCCGGAGTACTGATCAAATAGATTATGATATGAATACGCAAGCACGTCCGTGAAGCCTCTGTGGCATCACAGGTTTGCTTTGGTCCAAGCATAGTAGAATATACCAATGCTTTCCTATTGTGCATGCATTTTATGGCAGAAGTGGGAAGATGGCGCGTTGATCCAAGCTCACGCCGTATCGAGACCACATTCAATTTTTGGGACATAAAGGGACTATAATAGGAAGCACCATGGCTCAAGTCCACATTAATACATACGGGTGCATAGATACCTCGAGCATCCTAACCATTGCTTTCACTCTGAGGGGTTCAGTCTGCTCCTATTGTTATATTCACTTGTTGTTATGGTTAGCCACACTGCGCGTAACAAGTGTCAGATAACCCCATTCCCTCCAATTCACCCACTTCTCCGGTATACCCTATCACCAAGTTTACATACTGTAATCATGGGAGCCTATTGTGAGGGCGGAGTATTTACAAAGACTTGAACCATTGTTATCGTATTGAATTATAGAACAACACCATTCTCACCGTATTCCTAATGTCCTAAGGGAGTATTGAATTTCATTATTTGTGTGCCTAGGGGAGCCAACCGTGTCAATATTTCCTAAGATATCTAGAAATTCCCAGGTATCAGATTACTATAGATACCCTTGACTGCATCTGAAAGCATCATCGTTCTCAGCATCCTCAACATCTTGGAACTTAAGCACCCAGTACTTCACCAGTTTCTTCCGACCATCTTCAACCCTTACAAGCATGTCTTCTTCCAGGTAAGCTATACCATGCCATTCTCACAATCCTCTAGCCACTAATTACCATCCGCTCCTTTGAGTGCCAAACTAACCTTCCTGGAATACAGCAACAGCCAAAGCCAGAGCGACCCCAACGTGACGCCAGCAGAAGTCTCGCGGATCTTCGGCCTGGTCAGACGAGGAAGCAGGGGGAGTGACGATGCCTTAGTGCACCAGCTCAATCACGAGATACAGGCCATCGCCGAGCGCGAAGGAGTCAGCAAGGGAGGCGTGGTTGTCAAGGTCCGGGACGCGAGCAATATCACTCTGCTCCATATTGCAGCGCTATACGGCCGTGAGGGTATGGAGCCACTCTTTTCTTGTCTCCCTATCTTGAATTTTCACGAAATCACCAGCTCCTACTTATCCATTCACTTCGTGCCACGGCTGACCATCTTATTCATACTGGTAATAGGAGTTCTGGACTACTACCTTGAGGAGGCAACATTCCCTAGCGACGACGAGAAGCAAATGCGACTCCACCTCTTAACCTGTGAGACTCGCAGCGGGGACGGCCCTATCCATATGGCCGCGCGCACAGGGCAGATAAGTTTCATGCATGCGCTGAAGCGCTACTGTTTGCGGCTGGGCCAAGCGCCCATCATCAACTCCAGGGGGTTCTTCGGTTGCACCCCGCTACACTTCGCCGTCCGGGCGGGCCATCTAGATCTGGCCCGTGAAATCTGCCGCGGCAGAGCCGGTCCTGCAGATGTCAACGCCCAAAACATGAGCGGGCAGACGCCGCTGCACCTGGCAGTCCTGAAGGACAATTGGGAGATGGCCATGGGACTCCTGATGGCAGGCGCCGACGTCACACTCGCCGATGCAGGGTCTATGACCCCGGTGGCCATGGCAAGAGCACGTCCGGGTAGTGCCGTGGACGGGCTTTTCCAGAACCGCGGACTGCTGCCATGAGATGTTGGGAGAAGAGGTTAGGATATAGAATAGTAGGATATGTGTGAGCTGTAGGCTACCAGTAGCGGGTACATATATAGGCTACAGTTGCAGCTGAACGTCATGAATATGAAATACTTACTACCTTTGGTAACTTGTCCTAAGCGCCTACGAAGCCGTCTGCTATGTCCGCATCTATTATCAGGTGAATCAATACTTTTCTCCTACTCCCTCCTAGGGCCCTAGCCTACTCGCTACTATGCTGTAAGCAGAACGATGAAGCACAGGCAGCTGGATTTGGGTGGTATGTTGATCCGCGTGAGATATATACCGACACACCGATTAAACGAGTACGTTCTGGTAATATTCTTGAACAAGTAACTACGGGTTATTCGCCGCCACTCGACCTTCTGGCAACAAGAAACATCTCAGTGCTCACCATCCTAGTAATTGCCCAATTTGCCCCTTTTGGCTTGGACCTTGTGGTTGGTCATCTAACTATGTCATTTGCCCAGATATCAAATGCATTCCGCTTAATGAAAGAGGTATCCGTATACCAAACTAACTATCAGAGAGATTATAACATCAAGTTATTCAGCATTCAGCAGAGGAAACCATTGCGTCGTTCTGTGTGTTGTGGTGGATGGTGGCGGAACGGGGGATAATTATGGGGCGCTTATTGGGAGCTTATATACTAGCTTAGCTTTCAATTTCATATCGCCCGCATGGCTCAGTGGTAGAGCGTCTCACTCGTATTCACGTGACTTGAAAAAGTGTAATGAGAAGATCCCTCGTTCGATCCGGGGTGTGGGCACACAATTGAACTTTCTTTTTGCATTTCATCATGTTAACACAGATTGCATTGCAGCATGTATGCGGCGATCATACAGTCTCGTACCTTTTTTGTGTTTGTTGTTGATGTTTATTTAGCGAAGAACAGGGAGCTGAATGAAACCTTGGGACCTACGACGTATTGAGTATACCCTCAAGCATCAAACATCAAATAGTTTTCGACCTGATGCGACCCCTGGAAAGAAAAGTACTGCAGTACAGACGTGTATTGCACTCTTGGAATACGAATATGACAGCTATTGATATATAGCGCGTAAAGGTCGTAGACTCTTGTTCATGTCTGAAGGGCTTGGAATACTCATGCCGCTTCTCGGACTCCTTCAACCTTATCATTCATGAGTTGTAGACGGCCCGGCCCTCCTGACATCTCCGCTGCCGAGCGCCGTTTCTGGTAGGTCTTCAATCTAAATGTTCAGATGATGTTTGTTCTACTGAACCTACTTCACACCATTCCTGGAATATGCGAGCCTGGTCCCATCACTGACTTCCAGGGCGGTTAAGATATCTCCAATACCGTGTTTCAGCACGTTCTACGGGGCATTGAATGTTCTATTAGCAGCATATAATAGCCCTCGAATTATATCAAGGGCAGACCGAGGACCCTATAATGTACTAACTATGTCGCTTAGCCTTTGACTCGCAATGATATGATATTGTGTTCGTACCTGCGTCGCATGGGGCTTTTGCATTGGAGTTGAATCGCCATCACTAAAATAGGTACGATACAATTGCCTATTACGGAAGAGAGCATGAGTTGAAACTCGTTGCTTCACGGTCTGGGCCCTGATGTTATCGTCGGTGGGTATTTGGCTAGTGGCGGTAAATAATTTGCTTGAAGTCCATGTCGTGAAACCGAATTGTCAAACTGCAAAGGCAGAAAAGGGTTTGCCGATACGACCATGATGGCGCTAAAAACCTGCATCTTGCTCTGTCGGGATTAGTGACGGGGGTAACGGGGTAAAGGGGCACCCCTGTTAACACGGAACAGGGGTTATATACACGATAACTGGGCCCGGGGCTTGACAGCTTGACAGCTTCACTCTCTAGTGAAGACGAACAACGAGACATCACGGATGAGAGAATAATCTGAAGTCGGGTGCTGGACTGAAGGCGACTGTGAGAAGTTGATATCGATAAATTCGGATAACCTCTTCGTAAGGGAGAATATGCAGTACATCGCAGTCAGCATTGCCGTATTAATGTTCCATTTTCGGATGGCTATCACCGAGAGACAGGGATTCGAACAGCGATCGTGCTCCATCAAAATCTGGATCCGAAGACTCGCAGATGAGCCTCAAGATAGCCGCAAAGTAGTGCCGCTGGTGCCGTACATAACGCTAGAGATCCTGACATATGATGGTTATGTCCGGGATCATCGAGGAGGCAACCACTTAGGATGCAAATAACGGCCCGCTAATATTCAGCAGTGTTTAATGGTCGACAGGACCTTGCTATTTCATGTGCCAGTCAGATATACACGGGCATGTCTTTCAGTTCTCCTGCGCCAGCGCTTTCTCTTACTGAAGTCTAGGGGAAGGGGGTTTCAGCCAAGACTCTATCCACATGGGGTGGTTGAGGCTTCATGATCCCATCCTGACCAATGGCCACTGTCACATCGTGAACCAGGTCGCGATGCCGCCAAGGCTGATGAGCTGAGGCGATCCTATGGAAGTCTGTTTCTATAAGATCACCCTCTTCCCGTCGCTCATCTGCACTTGTTTACTCCCACTCCCATCCCAATCACAAGCAACCACACGACCAACTCACATCTCTTGTGTTCCTTCTCTCACAGCTGGGCTGTATTCGCTTCTTTGTCCAATACTTTACTTTTAATTCACCGTTACCGTTTCGCCAGGTCGATTCAAGTGTGGATTGTATTCCAGAAAATTCAGTTCGCCGACTCTAGCAACCACCCCTGCCATCTATCTCACCCACCTACATCACTTCTTCCCCTCATACCGCAACCATGCGTTTCTCTATCGCCATCTTCGCGGCTTTCACCGCGTCCGCCATTGCCGCGCCCACCTCGTCTCCCCGCGACCTGCTGAAGGGACGCCAGTCCGCCAAGGGCTCCTTCACGCAGAAGACATACGACCAGATCTCGATCTCGGGCGGCGTGGCGGGCAACGCGGAGAAGGAGGCGCTGGCGGTGTTCAGCGCGCTGGACCAGAACAACCTGGCGGCGGCGACCGAGGCCGACATCGACTTCCTGGACTCGGTCAACTCGATCTGCAACGACGCCGAGGACGAGGCGTTCAACCCGGCCATCGACGCGGCCGACGGCGAGGAGGCCGACGCCCTTCAGCGCGGCAAGATAAAGAACAAGGTCCTCAAGCTCGAGGCCACCATCCTCCGTCTCAAGATCGAGCAGGCCCAGGGCAAGGACGTCGCCGACGACATGGCCAAGGAGACCAAGAAGTTGCAGAACAACATCTCCCAGGACGAGGACGAGGCGGGCAAGGCGTCCACTAAGCTGGCCTTCGATGCCAAGACGGACTAAATATAATACAGAACTCCCCGCTGCAGAAGAAGGGCTTGTGATGACCACTGAGGAAATCTGGGAAACTTTACCAAGAGGGTTGTGTGTAGGATAATGAAATTAATGGTAGAGATAATGGCATTGAGTATTTTGGAAATCTGTCCCCTCCGTGACACTATTTGACTGATACGCACGACATGAGCGAGTTGTAATATTAGTGCTGATGCTGATAGACTCGGCTGTAAGCCTGATGTTAGGCATAGCGACTCCAAGCACCTGCTGGTAACGCTTCTGGGTTGACATGAAAGCACAAATGCAATCGCTACCGTGTTCTCCACGTTTGGTACATAATATCTCTAGGCTAATCACTAATAGAGAACTGTAGAATGACCAGGGCCACATGGGCTCAGAGCACATATGTTTATTGGCAGCTAGTATAAGGTAGACATAACGTGATCCTATCCATCTAAGTAGATCGAGTAATGGCTGTCAACGCCGCTGTATCACTACCGACACTGACCCCTTTTCTAGCAGGTAAACACGTCCGGCCCCGGCGCAGTGTAGGAAGTCGGGACAGGGTAGTAGATGTTGATCAACAGGCCGGGGTCGTTGGGTGAGTCTAGCGATCTCGTTAGCATCGAGGACTTGGTCATACGGTACTTATTGAGAGAAGTATGTGAAGAATTCTCCACGGCATTATGATGCATTCAAGGGGGATAACTCACAAGCACCTGGGAACGCGACGAGGTTAGTAGGCGTCTTGCTGCCACCCCCAGTAACGGTAAGTTGAGCACAAGAGATGTACGTCTGGGCACCGCCAACCGAGCCCGCGCTGTGCAACGCGATGTGCTCGACGCGCAGGAGGTAGTCTCCGGCGGGGATGCAGGACGGGATCTTGGTGGTGACCTATAGGACAGTAGTGGAAACATCAGTATCTGCCAGGTATGATATGATAGCGAGTAGGAAAGGATACAGGGTTTCATATAGCAGTTGAACCTTACCTGAGCAGCACCCTGGCTGGGCCATGTCAACCCCGAAGGCGCAATGTTGGGTCCCTGCGAGAAGATCTTGAACCACACGGCACCGGCGCCGTCCCAGGAGTCGGCAGTCTGGCCCGAAGGCACCTTTGCCATGTAGAACTGGAGCGTACCCGGGTGCGACACCGAGGACTTGGCCGTGAAGCCGACGGTGGTGCCGGCAGCCACCGTCATGACCTTGGCGCCCTCATTTCCGGGAGCGAGCTGGTAGCATCGGAAGGCCTCCGAGTTCACGTCGGTCACTGGACCGTTGCTCTGGTAGTTTGTAGTCTTCCGGACATACTCCCAGTCTGCGGTCGTCTTGCCGTCCGCAATGAGGGCGGGAAAAGTGTCTGTTGGGTGGGTTTTCAGTCAACATCTCTGTCTGCATCGAATCTCTATGCAGGGATGGAGGATGCAATAACTAACAGTGAGCGTTGACGGCGGCGGCCAAGGCGAGAAAAGCTGCGGCGATCTTCATCTTGAGTTGAGATCAACTGTCCGGATTTTCTAGCAGGATTAGCAGGTGGTCAACAGTGAAACCGTGTAAGTTGTCGCCCTCTGCCAGAACCCAGGACTTGAACGCATGCGCTTGGGCACCTCTATATATCGTGACGCTGTATGGATATGCGCCCACCATATTAGCCCTCCCTTGTCCACAATAGACAATCATGTGTAGTAGTTGATGACTTCTTTAGTATTGCGGACTGGCTGTCGCCGGGTTGTAAATAACCGCCGGCTAAAACGCCCACGACCACTCAGATGTCAGGAAGTCGGCGGTCTAAGCCAAAAGGAGACGTTACAGCGAGAGAAATCAATCATAATAATCAGCACCAAGAGCGGTTGAGGTATCATGCGGTACTGGATCGTGCGGCAGTGTCGTGTCAGCATCGCCAGTGGCTAGAAGCATCGTAGTTTCGAATGAGGCTCCCCCAGGCTCGGACGGATGGCAAGGCCTCACCCGGCAATGTGGAATTTATTGCACGATATACTACAAGTAGAATGGCGCACTCTTGAGCAGCAGAATCACTCACGACGAGCATCCACTGAAGAAATACCAAAACAAATTCCACGTCCATTCTTAATCTCCAACTGCAACGAGGCCTCCATACATCCTGTAGTGCTGGTCAGGGGGAGGGGGGGATTACTGGCCATTTACCTATGGCCTTGCTTCGTATCAATGTCGGCCGCTCTTGCTTGCTCTCTGTCCAGGGATATGTAGCCAAAAGAGTTATAAGTCCAATTACACTCTTTGTTTCGACGGTGGAGGTGGTTAGGATCATATGAAGCACTAGTTCTCCCATACAATTGACATATGTCGCGAATTATCTTGTCTCCCATCTTTACCTAAAACCTGTCATGATTCCGGACATCAAAGCTCGTGGCACTTATACAAACGGAAAGACGAGTCCTAGGTTTTCCATTAACCCTCGAGGTGCCGTTACGATCGGGATGCTTTGGACGCCG